AGATTTGCTTTCTTATTCTCTGTTACACTGTCCTGAACAGAAGCACATCTGTGTACACTCGAGATTTGCTTTGACACACTTGCATCTTTTTGTACAAGACTTTTTGTATCCACATTTTAACAGTTCCTGCCTAGCTTTGGCTGCCTCTGGAAGAGTGGTCCAGCATGGAGTCTATGGGGAATCATCTGTCACTCTCTCACAGCCCCATAAATCTGGCGATGGAACTTCAGGGTCTCCTATAAGTGACTGTCCCCAGATGTGCCCTGCCTGATAAACAGCCCTTTTCACATGCTGTTCCAGGGCATGCAACGTTAGAGGAATGTTTTCCATCTTACGGTTTTGAGTGAACAACTTCTTCCTGGCTTTATTCACATGGCTGAGTGCTGATGTTCGCTGATACAAGAGAACAAAATATCTCTCTATTTGCTCCACGTCGTCGGGGGATACCTGGCTTGGAGCATGGAATAACCGAGCAAAAAAATCGGTTTGAGATGAGGCATACTGCACCAAACAGCCCAAGCTGTTCTCTTTCCAATTCCATGGAAGGCAGGAACAGTATCACATCCTGATATTGCATGGAAGAATAGAAGACCCCATGATGCATCGTTGCCTAATTCAGCTGCAATTAGGTGGCACTGAATGTAAAGTAGTTTAGCACCATGACCAAATGCTATCAATATTTCCCAGTCATGTAAAACACTTGACACTGCGGTAACCACCACATCAGTATCTGTTGCATGTATCATCAGCTTGGTAAACCCATGATGGAATGAATGGGAAGCATAAAACAGGAGCCGTGTGCCTGATCCTTCGTGAGTGCAGAACAAATCTGACAGGTTAGCTATGGGAGATGATACAGCATTCTGGCCATGTGTGGAGTTCACTAGCTTCTGTGTAGGAGGTTAAAATCTTGTATTGCATTGGCTAGAAGTTGGAACAGGCTGTCTTTGTTTGCATCACAGCGAAGGAAGTTCTTCCAGTTAACAGGAATCTTGGTGTTATTGTCCACCCGGAGATGATTACCAGATCCACGGTTCTGTCATGTTTGTGCCTTAGGCTGTCCTCCCTGTAGACATCCCAGACAACATCTACGCGAACAACGTTTTGTAGCAGGTGTTCTATATAGGGAAAGAACACCAATTGTGAATAGTTCTGGAATGTTTTGACAGAAAGTTGGGACTTATGGTTGATAAAACTTGCCACATTGCTGTGCCCTTTGTCTGACGGCCTCCAGTATGACATTCACTACTTTAATGATACAGACATAACTGTGTTGGAGTATGCTCTTTGTCTATATGACGATCTGTTCGCAGAGGAAAACCTACCCTGTATGGATCTCACTGGAGTAGAGGATATGAGAGCTCTTCTAAAAGTCCAGGCCGTAGTTGTGTGCTGCAGAAACAAGGACTTTCAGAGAGCTAGGAGGGTCGCATCAAGGCTCTACGGTGTCGAAGAACCTATTCCACCAGATATTCAGAGGATGCTAGAGAAAGGAGAAGATGAGTGCATTGTGTTAGAGAAATACCCATATAAGTGCTTGATCGACGGAATGGTAGCGTTGCTGCGCCCCATATATGATGCTCTACCACGGCCATTCGTCCTGAGAGCAGCCGAGTCATGCCTGGCAGCTGGTCAGAATGTGGCGAGATCATTTCCCAACAAATGGCAGTCGTCTATAAACCGATGTACAGAACCACACGAGGCCATGGTGCCAGGGGACATTTTTTATGACCTAGGCACTTCAGTGCACTCTGTTCAGGTAAGTGTGCACCAGTGGGGCCAGATAACTGCTAACGGGATAAACGATGGCTGTGATGCTCCATGTGAAAAAGCAGAGCCTCTCAGGTCAGAGCTTAAATATAAGATAAGAGAAAAGAGGTTGCGTATGTCAGCAAGGACGTGGGCAGAAGCAAGAGCTTTAATTAATGAAACCATCGGTATACAAAATAATAATTCTGTATTGAAAATGACAGATGTGCAGATCAGAGAAGCCACTGCAAGGAATTTCAAAGTTCCTCTATCAGGACGAAAAGGCCATAAACCTAAACATCTAGATGCGGATAGTGATGCAACTATCATAGCAAGAGGGTCAGGCAGTGATCAGGTGGTAGTCACACGAACGTTTAAAAATGCTGGTTTCAAAACAGAAATGCTTGCCAGTGATGTTAGTGTCATGGAATCTGATGCATCCTCAGATGAGTCAAGTCTGTTGTTTAATCCAGGTGCCAGTCGTCGTCGAAGTCACGTTCAGAATAGTAAGAAGCCACTGCCAAGTGTGAATGAAAAACATGGGAGGGTTGTGGCAAATAGCGAGAGTTTGGCAACGACAGGCAAAACCGCAGACCGCAAAGCTTCTCGAACGACATTTAGAAAGCTCTTTACTGTGCCAGCAAGTCCACAGCTGGAATCCTGCTCGTCACAAGACAGTAGCGCATCTGAAGATGACACTGACAGACATTTGCTTAGCAAGGCTAGAGAATTACCATTAGAACTCTTAGAAGCTATCAGAGATGAAGGCCATCAAAACAGTCAAACCAGCTCAACTGAAGATAGGGTGCACTCTAGCCCCCGCAATCCATGGCTGCCAGCAAACGGTGAACCCATATCAAAACATTCTGCTGGCCCTCTCACCAAAAAGCTGCGCATCAGAGTGCGCATACCTCCTTCATATGC